AATGGTAGTGATGTTTGACGGTGTGATGGCAATATTTGGTCTTCCTAAAGAAAAGAGAGACAGCTAATAAAATAAGGCCCAGTCTATATAATAAAGACTAATCTATTACTGTGGCAGCTTACTGATAATTGTAAGATTAATATCGTGATAGACAGAACCAGCCATATTCACGACACGACAGGTATAAACTCCTTCATCTAAATTTTTCATTGGATCATAAATCCAAAGATGACCAGTATGACGATCTGTTCTGTATCGTCCTAAGTAGAGAGGAGAACAAGATAAAATTATAGCCGCACATTCAAGAAACTAATTTTAATTAACTCAATAAAGTACAAAAATTAAAAAATCCCATCACAAAAGGTAAATAATCAAAATATTACACTACAGAAAAAAAATCAAAATTAAGCAAGTCTATTTTAATATCATAACTATAAAGAGAGAGAGGGGAGAGAATTCATTTAATAAACTGCAACTCTTTTATTGTAAAAGTCACAAATGTAAAGTCTCCCGTCGGTTCCCATGGTCATTCCTCCGGCACCTTTAAACTGATCCCTTCCGCTCCCTTCGTCTCCAAAGCAACGGATAAACTCTCCATCAGAAGTAAACGAGGACACACGATGATTAGCCACTTCAGCTACATGTACCATGTTGTACGCGTCAACGGCAATCCCATGGGGACGACCCAACTGCCCTTGCCCATTCCCTGGACTGCCAATATGACACACAAACTTTCCACTTGCAGAGAACTTTTGAATCCTGTGGTTACCTGCGTCGGTGATATAAATATTACCGGCTTTGTCAAATGCTATATCCCGTGGGCGTGTGAACTGTCCAGGCCCAGTTCCCTGAGTGCCAAACTTGTGCGAGAAGGTCAAATCCTGATTGAGTACCTGTACCCTGTGGTTGCTGCTCTCGACAATGTAGACCTTCCCATTCTCCTCGTTTATCTTGACGCCACAAGGAGTATTAAACTCCAAATCACCAGAGCCTGGGTGACCAATCGTTTCCACGACCTTTCCCTCAAGGGTGACCTTTTGAAGCCTGTGGTTATCAGAAACCAGTACGTGATTGTCGTGAGTGATGGCTACACCTCGTGGGTAATTGAACTTGGTCTGTCCCCCTCTGTCGGTCTCTCTTCCGCCTATTGAGCATATCTTCTGTCCTTTAGTGTTAAGTATAGAGACTGAGTTGCTGCTACATTCCACAACAGCAATCGTGCCAGAAGGACTTATACTCACACCATAAGGAGAGTCTAACTTTTGCAGGAAAGAGACCGGGCTGATGACTTTAAGGTAAGGATTGAAAGGTATCACAATGGACTTTGTGCCAATCTTAGTCTCATTAGCAAAGACAGTTAGGTTGTGCCTCCCATTGCTATTAGGGACACAGGAGAGGCTATAATTACCAGACTCTCCTTTGATTGTAGTTTTTATTCCTTTATTCTTCTTCTCTCCCTCTGGGACTAGGCTACATGATATTGATACATCATCAAGATGAGAGAAAGCTCCCTTGATGACCAGGGGTATGGTAACGTTACTCTCTTTCATCTCAATACTGCCGCAGGTAAACTGACCTCTACCGTAATCAGGCGTAGAGGCTTGAGGTAAGACCACTGTCACATCTCCTAGAAAACCAGCAGTAGTCTCAATATTAGAGTCTGCATTAAACTGAATATCAAACTCTTCCTTTACTTGGAAGGACTGGAGGTCGACCATTTCTAGTACAGACGACATCCTGTCCATCATTTGTTTCTTTGACACAAGGACTTGTTGAGGATTCCCAATACTGAGCAACTGGGTAACGAAATCGTGACAACTCTTCATGTGGCCCAAAGCCATGTCAACCGACTTGCTTTTCTCTATGAGTTCTTCCTCTTCTCCTTGAGTTATCTTGTCCACTCTTTCTGTCAGTGAGGCCTCCGACTCTTGCAATATCCCAATAATATGTTCAACCATGCCTCGTATCTCTCTCTTCACTGATTCCCCTTTCTCCTTTACTTTTTTCTTCCTTTTCTCTAGTTCAGCAAAGACATTGGTGGCCCTCCTTATCTCTTTATCAACTGGTTTGAGGCTTGCCTCAATGATTGCCTGATGCTTAGGGTATGTATCACTGATGAGGTCGTACTCGTGATCCTTATGGATCTTCACAGTGCAGTTGGAGCATATAACTTCCTCGCATTTCTCACAATAAATCTCGAGTGGCTTACCGTGCTTCTTGCAAGACTCAGCCTCAAATTTCTCGCTCTTTTTAGCCGTTATCATAGACCCCACCGACGACGTTGCCATCTCTTCTACTGACTTGATGACATGATGGGAGAACATTGCCCATTTCTTGTGCATGTCTATACAGGCAGTGCAAAGGAACTGGTTACACTCATTACAGTGTCCTGTGGCATTCCTTTCACTGCAGTTCTCACAAAGAGTTTGCCTTTGCTTCACTTTTGATAGCTTCTGATACACATCAATGAGATTATTGATATGAAAGGCAATAGGATAGCCTCGTACCCCCTCAGTAGGGACACTAGCTGGTGTTCGACAGACTGGACAATTGAGAGCATAAACATAGCCTTTCTTTTCCTGGGGCATACGCTCAAGACATGAAGTGCAGAAAGAGTGGAGACAAGGCAATGTCTTTGGCTCTGTAAAGACATCAAGACACACAACACAATGGACCTGATCTTTAAGCTGCTCTAGCATGTCTAGTGGCTCAGGACCAGTAGCCATTTTAGAAGCAGGTACACCCACTACCATATAAGGTCAATAATTATTCACATGGCAAAATGAATATGCATGTGACTGTTTTGATAAGACATTCTTGTGCTACAATGATTCTGATTCATTGATTTAGTTACATGTATATGTATAATAATTATGATGTATTTTAAAATGCTACAAATAAAACATTTCATTGGATTCTTACCAGGAACATCCCCTCTTCTAGTACCATCTTTATACCACACAATAGCTGGCCTAGGATCACCTGTTCCACCACATGGTAAGTTTATCGGGTGCCTTTGATATGCAACCAGTTCAGTTGGTAGGCCATCAATCAGTTTAGGAAACACTGCAATAAAGATACACAGTAGAATATGTTCATAGAATATTAGCTCACTGCTTACCATACACAGTCAAGTGTACTATATCACTTGCAATACTTATATTCTCATTACCAACAGATGAATTAAGAGTACAGTAATATTCTCCAGCATCAATCTTCAATGTATTCACTATAACCAGGTGCTCATCACTGATCAAGACCCTTCCCTTTTGCTGCAGCATCTTAACTGGATAATCATCTCTCAATTTGTACCACTCAACGACTGGCTTTGGATTACCCTCTCCAATGCAGTGGAAGACAGCAGTCTCACTCACATTAACTTCTACATTTTTGGGCTTTTTAACAAATGTTGGTGGACCTGCAATATATAATGCATAAAATAATATCCACAGCTCATTATATACAACTGTGTATCTTTATTTTATTTGTCACTACCTGCTGTTAAGTATAATAATAATAATAATAATAATAATAATAATAATAACAATAATATGCTATAAAGGAAGTGGTAGTCATGCTACTGCACGTACTTTCAACACTGAGTATAACGGTAGATGAGTCATTCCCAAGGCTATTAAATGCCTGACAAGTGAATGAGTTCCTTTCAGCAGGAGGAGTGAATAATGTCAATGTCATATTGCTCTCATTGAGCATGTAAGGCAATGAAGAAGAGACATTGGAGATTGGGGTGTCATTGACAAACCAGAGGATGAGAGGAGGAGGGTTACTGGATACTGGACAATTGAGTGATACATTGGTACCAACGAGAGATACTAGTGTTGGTATACCACACATACTGGATATTTTAGGAGAACCTAAACAACAGAATGATTTGATAAACAGAAACAACTCAATATATAGTGCAGTACAGAATGTGCTGATCTAAAGTCAAAAGTAGATTTATTTAAAACTGTTCTAAAATGGCCAAGCCTATGGTATGGCATTAAAAGAAAATACTAAATTTTTATTAAATTATAATCATATAAAGTAAGTGAGGATGCTTTAGCTATTCCATTACCTTCCACAATAATGTTATATTGTACAGTAGCTTCGCCTGTATCACTGTCTATGGAGCAATTATAAACTCCACCATCTTCCACTGATATCATGAAAATCGTTAAAGTTTCATTAAAGCCCAGACGAGAGTTGGAAGGAAGATCCAGTCCATCCTCTCTTACCCAGTTCCTATCAGTTATACCAGTCAGGTCTGGGTGACTGCATGGTAGAACAACTAAATCTCCAACTTCTCGTTGGATGTTTCTAATGCCAGCTGGATCAATAATTCTTGTACTGTCTGTCATAAAAAGGAAGGAAAAAGAAAAGAGAGAGAGAGAGGAGAGTAAAATAGAAAAAATAGAAAAAGATAAAAGAAACAATTGCTAATAATAGTTTAGGAGAATGAACCTTTTACGGATACTCTAATGCTTCTCTCATCACCACCCAGATCATTACTAATGTTACAGATGAACGTGTACTCGCCACGAATAGTACTTAGCTCATATATAATTGCATTCTATAATAAATAATAATTACAATCGTTATTATAATTATATGATCCTAATCCTAAATTGTATCCTAATATATACAGTGCATGCATGCATTTTGACCTCAATTGGTATGGTTGAATTAATTGGATTTCTATTGTCATCAAACCACACCATATCTGGTACTGGATTACCAGTAACTTCACACGTTAAGTTATACAACTCATCTGAATAGAGAGAGAGAACCAGTTCATTGCCAACGCACATCTCTTGGGGAAATGCTACAATCCTTGCAGGACCTGGCAATTAATGAATAGCAAATCAATATTATAATTATTATACAAATTAACACCATCATGATTTATAGACTCTAAATTAACACAGACTTTCTTAAATAAATAAATAAATAATAATATTTTATAAATCTTTTTTAAAAATATTATAATACATCAAGGATAATTAATACCTCTGACAATGAGATTCCTATTGATATTGATCATGTCCTCCAATTGACAGACATAGCTACCAGCATCATCATAAGTGATATTAACAATAAGGACACTGCCATTGGATAGTAGGACATGTCTCTCGCTGTAAGTCAACAACAAATCATCTTTAAACCATATGACCTTGACATGAAGAAGAAAGGGGAGAGAGAGGAGTAAGTCAGAGAGACAGCTCATCCAACCTGGTTTGAGTTGAGTACAAGCTCTGAAGCAGTAGTAGTGCATTCCAGTACAGTCCGGTCACCAAGGATTTCATTGATTTCACGATTTTCATCGGACATTTCCATTACCAAATCTACAACATATAAACAAACCTTCATATGTTATAATTATGGCACAAAATATTAAAGTGCTGCTACAGAGTTTTACCAATGCAAGGCTAGGTAATAATAAATTGATAATTCAATGTTTTTTATTAGTAGCAGGGGCATATCAGCCCCATTCAAAAATTTTCTCAGAAGATCCCTACAGAAAGAATCATGTGCAGTAAAGAGCTTACACTGCCAAGTCTCGCTTTTATACGTAGATAATTGTAAAAGGCTATCATGGGTTGGACACTAATGTGGTTAACACTCATGTACTTATATAAACTGCAAAGCACTGACCTATGACATAGACTGTTATCTTATTAGAGACTGCAATGCCGGCATCAGAAGAGGCAATACACTGATAGTTCCCAGCGTCAGAGAGGCTTACATTGGTAATTATTAACTGATTCTCTATAATACTCAATCTACTAATACTACTGTTTAATCTAATTTTTTTTAAATAATAGCAACAATAGCATAATTATTATCGACTGATTAACAAACTTCATTTCATTTCTAGTCCATAGGACATCAGGTGCTGGTACTCCAGTGGTGGGACACCTCAAGGTGACGGCACTGCCCACAGTCCATAGGGTACTGCCATTAATAAGGATCAAATTAACAGTAGGAGGATCTGTGGAGTAACAAAGGGGAGAATAATAATCCTACCTGCTCCAGTCTCCTCCAGGGGTTTCCCAGAGGAATTTATATAGTGCTCAAAAACCCTGTATTATAGTACAAGGTCTTTGATCAAATTTGGCCCAAAATGACTAAAAAAGAATTTTTCATTTTTATAAATTTTTCTGATGCATATACATGTTTTTGTGTTGTGTAGAAAGTTTGCACTGATTCCAATCAAATTTGAATTTTTTTAATGAATATTTAAAGTTGCTCCGAAGAGACTTTGGTCAAATTTTTGGCAAAAACGACCGAAAAAAAATCTTCCATTTTTATAACTTTTTCTAATACATATAGTTGCGTAGAAAGTTTGAGCTGGTTTTATCAAATTTGGATTTTTTAGAAATTTTTAAAATGCTGTGCTGTATATTATAGTGCTTTCAGCTCACTTAGCATGCTCTTTCGCTCCTCATTTAGCATGCTTTATACAAAACCCTAGTCTCCTCTTTCTCTCTCTATTTCTCCTTGTATGAAGTATACATAAGCGTGTTTGTACTCACCACAAATATCTGGCAATAAAAACTTAGTTAGCCTCTGCCCCCTGAGAGATGGAGGTCTAGCACAAAATGGACTAGTGAATCTATTATTCGTTATCCACTGGAGCAACCAGCTAGCAGCGCAGTCGCACGCAATATTGTTATTTGATAAATGACTAAAAAATAATAGTAACAATAATTAATAGTAAATACCATATTTAATGCATTTATGCTGTATCTCCCCACACAAACTAATGTCATTGTCAGTCTCTACTTACATTGTACTTAATGAAGGAAGATTGCACACTGAACTTTCTGGAATAGTAGAAAGAAGATTAGAATCAAGATTCCTTAGAGGTAAAATCAAACATTTACATAATATAATAATAGTTTCTCTTTATATTTCTTACAAATATGTAAGGCTAGGGAGATTGCAGAATGCTTCGTGGCCTAATACAATAAGTTCATTGCTACGAATTGACCTAACAGAGAATTAATTGATAAAATTAATGCAATCCAGTCAATCATTAACTCACAAACGACTCAGTCTAGAAAGACCTTTAAAAGCTTCATTTGGTAAACTAATCAGCCGATTAAAACTCAAATCACTAGATGAAATAAATATTGGAAATATATCCAGATGATATCAATGGTATGTACTTACATATTCACAATGTTATGTAATGGATGGAAAGTAATGCTTTTAAATGATTCCATGTCATTACCATAAAGATTACTGTTGGTGTGTGAGTGTCAGGAGAAGCTACAATGAGAAAGACAACTTAGGAATTTTAAAACTCACAGTATCCTAAGAGATGAAAGACCATGAAAAGTGTAATTCTCCAGCACATGAAGACAATTTTTGTACAAATATCTTTATCAATAAGATTGATAATTATAATAAAACTATATACTCACAGCTCTTCAAGTCGTGCGAGCCTTCCAAATGCTCCTTGCTCAATGGAAGTAATAAAATTATTATCTAGTCGTCTAATACAAAATAAAAATGTAATTTGTAATTATTTAAAAAAATCAAAAATCTAATATTGTACTTACAAAGTTTTGAGATTTGTTAAATTTCGCAGCTCAGTTGTTATTTTTTGTATATAATTCCCACTGAGAATCCTAGAAATAGATGCATAAATTCATTCACATCTTTTTTCTAGGGCTCACAGTTCAGTAGTATTACTACCGAGTCCAGTTGGTATCTTGGTCAACGATTGATGATTGCAGTTCACCACGTACCCTGGCGTGCCTCCTCCCTCGGTGCTCGAAGGATAACAGTTACATCTAAGAGGACATGCCCTAGAGACTGCCAATGGAAGGAAAGGAACAGCAGAGATACAGAGGAGGACTAAAAAAGAGTATCCATCCATTGCGCGATGAGGTTTTCATCAAAATTATTGCGCGGCGCGCGCAGGTAATTTAGTCTAGATAGATCTAATGAATATCTTAATGAACCACGCCCAGTAATTTTGAGTCACTCCTTTTCTTCAGCCACACCCTCTTACCTTCCTCAAGTTTCTTGACTTCTCCTCGAGTTTGAGTAGTTTCTCTTCTTCCTCAGCGACTGAAGTAAGTAAGTTTATCATTATACAAGTCATTTTTCATTCACTTTATCCCAATATGTGGATAGCCGTACTTTCTCTTTCCCCCGTCTCCCTGTGAGTTATCCTATAATACGCACAAAATGGAGGAGCCCCCAGCTACTAAACTTCACACCAAAGGCCGTCTAATCGTCGGTACGAACGGAACAGCAGAGGATGATGTCGTCAAATTCAGTGGAAGGGGCTCTGTCTCCCTAGCAAAGCTGGTTGAGCCTATTAATCCGATGCTCAATTATTTTGAAATAGAGATATTGAACAGAGGGTCCGAGTGTGCCATTGGCATTGGGGTTGGTGCTATCAACTATCCACAGGTTTGTTATTGATAAGGAGTGGGTGAGTATCATGCTGGTCAGTGTTTTTATTTTAATGCTAAACGATTACAGTATTTATAGTGTGGCATGTGGCTGTTGTATATAATTGTTTATGGAAAGTATTTTTGCATTTTACAACGACCCCATACTCATCTCACCCACAGCATTAATTTTGTCACTTTATTTTAAATAATGCATCGTCTAAACTTTGTGTTTCCTAGCATAAGCTACTACACTGTATAATGTGTGTATATACAGTATTTTAGAGATTGGTACTATCACTACTATGATATCCTTTCATTGTATGTATAGGGTCGTCAGCCTGGTTGGAACAAGGGGGGGATCGGCTATCATGCTGACGATGGTCATCTCTACCACGAGAGAGGCTATGGGTCGAATTTCGGACCAACCTGCACAACAGGTTTGTGTTAGGAGTCTAACAATAATGCCACATTACCAGATTTATGTCACTGTCAGGATATTTTACTAACTCTAATATCACAATAGTGAACATAATTATCAGCCTGGTCATGCTGGTAGTGGATGAATTTACAGCTGTCAAGTGTCATTTATTATAATGTGCATGCTCCATGTGCAATATCATAATAGTTAAAAATAACAGTATCATAATCTTAATACCTGTATATAGATGTAGGCCCAGGCCTAATTATTTCTATTTAAGTTTTATCATTAATGATTAGGTGATGTGATGGGGTGTGGGGTTGACTTTGATACTGATGTCGGAGTCAATTACGTTAAAGTATTTTTCACTAAAAATGGCCGCCAGGTCGGACAGTCGCAGAAAATGAAGAGACCAATCCATGGACTTTATCCTCTATTTGGTGAGAGAGAGAGAGGGAGGGAGGAAGAGAGAGAGAGAGAGAGAAAGATTAGTATGATATTGTTTACATTTTATCACTGACAGGTTTGCACAGTGAGGGAGAGAAGGTGAAGTACAGGGGCCACTGGCTGCGTAGTCCTGACAACCTCCAGATACCAATGGAACTAGACTCCTCGCCCTCGACATACTGGCTACGATCAAACGGTGTCAAATTCGTCGACGACGGTCTTTCGCTAGAATATGCAGGCGAAGGCGGAAACGTACAAGACGTTGGTAGCGCACAAGCAAATTTCCAAATATCTCCCACTAATCATTACTTTGAATTGGAGATCGTTGACGCAGGGTCTATCGGAGCAGTGGCAATAGGGCTAGCTAAAACAACATACCCACTTAACAGGCACCCTGGCTGGAACCCTGGTGCCGTGGGGTACCATGCTGACGACGGGAAGCTCTTCAAGGAGAAGGGAATGGGGAGTGTGTTCGGCCCATCGTGCACCACTGGAGACACAATGGGTTGCGGGGTACGGTTTACTCCCTCTTCTGACTACGAGGAGTACATGGAAGAAAATGATAGCAGCTCTGAGACGAGTCTACCCGAAGAGGTCCAATATGCCGATCAATACTTGTCGGATAATTCGGACGACGACTATGATGACTATTTCGGTTTTGGCGGGCTTGGAGGCGGGTTAGGTGGGCGAGGTTTTGGGTTGAGGATGCCAATGCAAGTTCCCTCGGAGTCAAAAGAAAAGAAAAAGGATAAAGACAAAGAGAGAACTATCACCGTCTATTTCACAAAGAATGGAGAGGAGGTTGGAGAGACCGAGTGTGTGGTCCCTTCTGGCGGGTTCTATCCCATCGTTGCAATGCTTAGCAGAGGAGAAAAAATTAAAGTTAATTTGAGTCCTATTACTGGATGAAGCGTATGGTGTTTTGTGTGAGTGGTAGAGAGATTTTTTTAGAGATTTTTGTAGAGATCCTGCCACCAGTAATAATAGAAAAACAAACCCTGGGAAAGGGTTTTATTATTATTATTTATCTGGACTATTTGCATCCTTTTTATATTGTTGGATTTTTTAATTGATAGAAAAAGACTTATAAACAAAATTAATGTGCTACTCAAATAGATAGTGCAAAAAAAACAAAAAAAGAGTAGCAAAATGATAAATAGTTTCCCTCAGCAAGCATACTTTGTTGACACGTGGAAGTGTGCTTGATTGGAATCCTTCAAGTGCTCAAAATAAGGACCGTCCAGCTCAGACTGACTACAAACAAAATAAATCCTAGCCTCATAACGAGTGATGTGATCAATCATATCGCCGTCATACAAATCCATGTAAACACCTGTGAAATGCAACAATAACTTAAGATAGAAGAGTTAAATGTACATGTATATATAGAGCTGCATGCATTTCAAGCAGAAATTCAATATATATAAATAAATTCTAAGTAGATGAATAACTGGTTAAATTCTCACCATCTTGAAATGGATTGGGCTCAAACCTTGCAACGTTAAGGCTGCCTAGATTGACACATTTTTCTGTATCTGATCTCATCTGCAGTAATAGACAAAATATACATAATAATAATAATAATGGAGTATCTATGTTTTGCACTGCTTAATAATCTATAACATTGCTAACCATAAAAATAGGACCAGATCCACTGCAACCACTCATTGGGGAGCTCACATTCTGACATATACCCAACTGGATTGTGACATTCACAGTATCAGAGAAACTGATATTAGTCAGTACGTTGTTGGATGTGTCGTATACACTCTGTTTCCAGCTATACCTACATATTGGATGATAGTATACTATAGTGATTCAATGATGCATGATTTATATGTAATTACATTAGTTTGAGACTTTTGAGTACATCAAATAAATCATTAACATATATGCATCAGAATGCATCATAGACCAAGCTGATTATGCTGATGCATACATCATTTGTACTAATAGTTATGATGAGCTTGAGTTATTTCATTGCTTCCTTTATACTAACAAAAGACAAAAAAGCCACAGCCAATGATGTCATGTGTCTGGTGATTTGACACTGAGACAAGCTTGTTTAGTCTAGAAGCGATTATAGCTGAATAAGCGCTTATATGACACTACCGAGAATAATAATCATATCTACTAGTCTATTGTGCTGATAGCGGCTAGCTAATCATGCTCGAGGTGCAACATTATAATTATTTATGCTTACTCTTTTTTCAATGGAGATAAATCAAAATTTTTGCCACCTATAGATACTTTGCAATCATTCACATCTCCTCGAACCGAGAGAGCAACTGCTAACAACAGAAAAAGGACTACAATGAAAGAAATGTGGTTCGACATTTTGTACAAGCTAACTGCTGTGGTGCAAACACGTGACATGCGCCCCCACTAAAAACAAGATTATTTTGTGGGTGGGGCTGAAATATTCTAATTCTTTTCATAGATATTATAGGTTTTGCTAACAAAAATGTGTTTGTATGATTGATGCATGTATGAAAATAACAATTTTAAGTTCATGAATTGATACTGAAAAAAATTGAGTCATGTAAATCCTGTACCAGCTGAGGACTCTCCATGCAGTTTCCAACCATCTCGTACAAATGTAAAACAATCGTGAATGTTTCGTGCATCTTTTCAATAGCACCATAAGGCTCTAATATATGAAGGCTGTTAGAAAGGACATCATTAAGAATCTAAAGAGAGAAAGAATGAACTGAGTGCCTAGCAAGTTATTCTATCTTACCTTATCAATGTCAGTCACAGTATTATAGAGTATTGTATGTATCTCATAAGCAGAATTGCAATTAGAATTATTCTGCATATTATCAGAGCATTGCTTATTCCAGTCTTTTGTTATAGAGCCAAGTAAAATTACAGCATCGAGGAGGAGCTTTTGCTCTGGAGATGCTGATGAAGTGACATTAGGGAGTGAAGACACTGTGAGTAGATGGTCTTCAAGTTGGCTCAGAGTGTTGCAAATCTCGTTTAGCTTGTTTACAACGTCCTCCATCGGAATTTTGAGTCTCTGTAGTCTGCTTGATTTATTTATGAATTTTCTAGCCTGCCTTGGCTCGATCGCTGGTTATGCTTTTATAAGAAATAATCCCGTCGATTTGTGGGCGCCGCCAGACAAATCTGATTGAATCATAGATACTACAAACACATGATTGAACCATGAACGTGAACTCATGTATGGATGACGTTAAATCTAATAGATGAAAATTCCAGCCATTGTTAGCTTTGCTTGCTATTAATGATGCATTAAAAGTGTCTGTAGTCTACAGTCAACACACAAAATGTTTTAAAATTATTAAATTTATAGCAAGAGTAGTTTGTTTTATAGCTTGTTACAATACAAATTTTAATTTCAATATACCAGGGTACAAACTTAATAACATTATAAATTTATATACAGCAAGGAAAAGCGTCACTTTGCCTCTGCACAGTTACATTCAGACTATGCAATGAAGCTAGTTCTGTTAGGAAAATGTGATCCTTCGGGTGTAACCCGATCAGTTGCACCATCTCGCACGTCATCACATGATCTTCACACGAGTCACCATCAACATTGATCAATGACTGATATACTTCAGTATTTAACTGTTGGAAGAATCTAAAGGTAAAACCAAGTGAGAGAGGATAGCGTAGTATTTATAAGAAAATAAAAAGGCCATGAGAACTTGATTATACCTTGCAAGCATGACATCTTGCTCTGTTTTGTCCTTCATAGCTCTAGTAAGTGTAAAAGCCATGTCCCTAGAGGTAGGAGTCACATGACTAGCACATGATGCAGGATTCTGACTTACTGTGAGTGGATGAGTTGTGTGTAGCGCTGCTCGTCCGTGGGTGTGAGTCTAAGAAAGCAGTCTAGTCTATTGGAGGTTGGTATTATGGTCTGACTGTCAATGTATATGTCATAAAGGTCAGTCTTGCTCTGAAATATTCTCTCGGTGGTGCCTATCAATATAAAAATAAGCAATAATAATAATAATAATACTTGTTATTGTTGTGCTTACATGCAATGTAGCTATTGAGTGTTGAGATATAGTCAATATCGGCAACATTGACAAAGAAGAGTGGATTCTGACCGGTGTCTATTTCTGTATTCTCAATATTATGCGAGGCTAAAAGGCACATACAGTATACTATAGGGAGAGAGAGGTGGGAAGATAGAAAGAGGAAAAGTTTATAAATTATTATTTTTGGGCTTCACCCAATAATTTAATAACATCTGTGATCAAAATTGGATTTTTTTTACAATTTTTCAAGTTGCTCAAAAATTGGGCCAAAGTCCCTGTACTATAGCACATGGTCTCGGGCCAAATTTTGGCAAAAATGACTAGGAGAGAATTTACCATTTTTATAATTTTTTCTTATACATATACATGTACTTATGTTGTATAGAAAGTTTGTGCTGGTTCCGATGAAAATTGTTTCTTTTACAAATTTTTAAAGTTGCTCAAAAATCGGGCCAAAGTCCTTGTACATTGTATAGTAAAGTATAGTGCACTGTCTCAAGCCAAATTTTGATATTAGAATGCCCACACAACACAATGCAGTACAATGGGCGAGGCCTCACCTTTATAACAAGTAACACCAACAGGTGGAGGACTAAATATTAATATTCTTTTCTTTAACAGTGAGAGTTTCCAGAGGGCAAACACTTTAGGCCCAAAGAACTCAAGGAACTGACTAAAACAGCCAGCAGGATGAGTAATCTCCATGTGAGGAAGATCTTGTGTTGCTAGGGATGACGGTGATGTAGGGTTTGCTCTTGGGGCCTGAATACTCCAGAAATAAGACACCAAACTCTCATAATCACTGTTGGGATTCTGTACTCTAAACCTATTGACATAACAAATGATGTTTTTAATCTTTAGTCATTAGATTAGTATGGGCATATATAGATTATGTATGCTTGTAAATTTGTGTTTGTTAGAAATAGAGAAGTGTGTGTTTGTACATGTACATGTATGTGTGGGTAAAATGCATATTCGTAACTTTTTGTTTGTATTACATGCGTGTGTGTGTGTGTGTGTGTGTGTGTACTTTGCTTGTTGACTCAGGAACTCCATGTGATTGTGAAGGTTGGAATAACTCACAGCCAAAATCCCCACAGACTTCATCCTTGCTCCTCTCTCCTCCACATTGGAGACTGATATCTTCTCATAGCAACTTAACCCAAACAACTGGTTGTGCTTGAAGTAGCTGAGAATGAGAAATAAGTAACAGTAAAAAAAACTACTGGAAATACACGTATGCAGTTGAAAACTGATTAATGCATGTAACATGATTAAAGTAAGAGAAATTCACATGATGAAAAACCAATTATAAGACTTATCTTTCCTTTCTGTATCAAACAATGTACACATAAACATACCAAGTAATCAGTCATGATCCCTCAAAGACAAAACAGGTACCAAGGAGATACAACAATCCTTTCATGACAGTTATGTACATGCACATAACGAATTATACTCCAACTAAACCATTGTTCTTCATTAAGACTATGTACATGTACATGTATAGTCAGTGTATTCATCATCATACAATACACACAATAGCATATTATGCTGTGTGACACATGCTCTATATTACTTACATAAAATCGGTTGTCACGTTATGAAATCCGCTCGCCATTGCTCTGAACTCAACTCCATCTAAATTGATCTCTTCAGGATAAGCCCATTCTATGATGTTACCTAAGGCCAGGGAGTAGGTATGGACATCAAGTATACTAATTTTTCATTGTCTTGTCCTAACCTTTCTTTGTATCAAATGCCACCACAAAGACAGCTACAATCAAGTCTTTACCCAGTATATGCTGCATTCTATTTCTCTTCTCTCCCGCTGAGTCTTCCTCTAAGTCCAGTAGCCTGCTTTCTCTGTTAGCCTGGTGATACTGGTAGTTCTCGTCTTCTTCCTCCAGCCTTTTCCCTTCCTCGACTCCATCATCGTCTATTAGCAGCTCTCTATCGGGCTCCATTACTGTGTGTGCCCTGGAGTGACTAGACTATGGAGTGACTCGGTGAAAGAGATTGTCAAAACAAAACCTGACAGCTAGCATTGAGCCACACCCATCAGCTACTCCCCTTAAGCCTTAATAATTTACACAATAGTTTGCTTTATGTACATTCACAATGATGTCTACAATATATTGGAGCTAATCTATTCTCTCAAATGATGCTACAAAGAATCCTTGACAAAAATCTTCTGATGGTATTACTCTAACACAGCACGACCCTACAAGAAAAAAGAACAAGTCTACTACTGAGTAGTGAGTCCTGCTGTTACCTCCCTCATATTCTGCCAGTCCTCTGTTAGTCCAATCGGGTAAGATGTGAACCAATTTGAACTGATCCTTGTGTGCACTCAATGCTTCAGACACAACTCCTTCATTTTCCTTAGACATAAAACAAAATTATATAATCAATCCCCCCATGCAATGGGGCTAGGTGTACTTCAGGATGTATTGAACATGTTGAGTAAACAACTCTCTTTACTGAGGGGAAGGACAGTGCATGCTTCAGTATCATGGACTGGAATCTTGAGAGAGATGTTAGTCTCTGAGGAGATACCTATAACACATGCACTAGGAGTAATAGAGAGGAAGGTATGGGCAAGTACTGAGCTATGTATCTCTTGTCTTCTTATGATACCAGATCCTGAGCAAGAGGGATCTACTAAGATGTACTGGACGTTAGAGTAATCTTCGGGGCATACCTATCATGAATTGTTAATAATCATGCACTACTGTGATCCACTGTGCATTGAGCAATCCTGTCATCTTTTGACACTCACTTTCAAAAAGTCCATATTACTAACTGTGACACACGTGACGTTGTATTTTCTTAGCAATGCCTTCATAGCATCACATCTTTTCTTGTCACGATCAAAAGCATGTATGGACCTACCAATGAGACAGTAAACTTTAAAATTCATAGAAAATTCAATTTTGATCGAAACCAGCTCAAACTTTCTACGCAACATAAGTACATGTATATGCATCAGAAAAAATTATAAAAATGGTGAATTCTCTCCTGGTCATTTTTGCCGAAATTTGGCTCGTGACCCTGTACTATTATATATAGTACAGGGACTTTGGCCCGATTTTTGAGTAACTTTAAAAATTTGTAAAAAATCCAATTTTGATTGGAATCAGCTCAAACTTTCTACACAACATAAGAACATGTATATGCATCAGAAAAAAATTTTAAAATGCAGGATTCTCTCCTAGTCATTTTTGGCAAATTTTGGCCAATGACCCTGTACTATAGTACAGGGACTTTGGCCTGGTTTTTGAGCAAATTTAAAAATTCATTAAAAATTTAATTTTGATCGAAATTAGCTTAAACTTTCTACGCAACATAAGTACATGTATATGCATCAGAAATAGTTATAAAAATGGTGAATTCTCTCCTAATTATTTTTGCCAAAATACCTTCTACTATAGTACAGAGCCTTCTGTCAAATTTTGAAGCAACTTGTAAAATTCATGAAAATTCCAATCTTTATCGAAATCAGCTCAAACTTTCTACGCAATATTATATAAGAATAAAGTTAATATTCTGATTACCCAGTGTTTTTCATTGCAGCTGCAATATGAGATGTCTTGCTGCCTGGAGCTGCACAAGCATCAATCACACTAGCCCCAGGAGGAGGAGAGAGAACATAACTTGCAATGCAAGAAGACTGCATGCCACAGAGAGAATAAATATATGTCAAGGAGAGTGACTCACTTTATCCTGTAGTATAATCTTACCACTAGTGTACAGACTTGTATTAGTTAATTTTACTGAGTAAGGTAACACATAAAGATCTGGAATTAGGTCATCTTTGAAGTACCAATCATTGCCTTTGTCTTTCAAAATAAACTGTATAAACACTGTCATCATAAAATTGCAATTTTATTAACTCCAAATTCAATACCTGTATATCCTTATTAAAAGGTACCTCTTTCAATCCCAGTTTTACCAGTTCATTTGTTAGCTCAACTGGTGAAGCACATTTCAATGCATTAAGTCGTACATATCGAGGCAGTTCACTAGCTATTAAGAAATAAATCACTTCATCTCAAACTACAATTTCTTACAAGTAGAATCGCTAGGAGAATCCTTTGATACTTTATTGAATATTTGACGTAATAATACACTGTGCTTTAAGACTGATCTGGTTAAAGGACCTTTAATAGTTAGCTTCTCTTGTCCAAAAAATAACTCATATAAGATAACAAGACTTAGTGACTGCGTTAACTAGTGAAAGAAGGATTGCCATAAAGATAGGCTTTTGGCTGAGCTCCTTTAGCACATAAAATATCAATTTACACTTTGTCTTACTTTTGTTGTCTTCTCCAAAAGCTTCGATTCCTTTATTACTTGAGATAATACTGTCTGTTCTATAGTGTTGGCAATATTATGGTAATTTTTAGTTTCAGCATAGACACATTTTGGGACTTTGGACATATTCAATCGAAGCTCCAAAAAACTTTCAATTAATGCTATCACAATTTTCCAATAATTTGAATTATAAATTTCGGGCCAAATACTATACAGAACATAAGGACAAGCTTCTCACTTTGAATTGTTTTCTCTGCTAAGACAAAGAGAGCTTTCTTTCTTGGCAGGCTCAAACCTTTAGTCTTGAATGCTAGACTCTTCAGTGACCCCTTTTTAGCTTCTAGCTCGTCAATAAGTCGAGCAGTATCATGATAAAGACTATATATTGCGGGATTCATGATAGGACCTTTTTAGAAATTAAATTAGACCTACCTTTCTCTCCTAGCCATCTCAACGCACGTGGGCAACCTTGCAAAAATTTGTAGGCAAATTGGAAATCATTCAAAAATTGACACAAATTTTATTGGATAAATGCAATAATATATTCTTGACAATGGTGTACATGTATTGTTGTTTTCTCAGTTGAAGCAGTCTGAAATGTGTTTACCAAATTCCTTGTCACTCAAATTCTTCAAAACTTTAGAACAGCCCGGACAAACACGCTGCTGCGATGAGAAGCTGAGAGGAGGAGGAGAAGAAGGAGGGGAAGGAGGAGGAGGGTCTCGTCCAGTCTCCATCAATCTACTAGTACCACTAGCTTTTGATCCTCTCCCTCGCTCCTCTACTCGACTAGCTAAGTGTGATGGGACAACAATCTCTGAACGTCCTTTCTTATTTTTATTAGCCTCCAAGTCTTTAATCTACAGTGGATAATATAGAATGGATAATAATCTTTAATCAACAGTGATTGAATGGATAGTAGTAATGGTATAGAAGGAATGAAAAGGAAACCTCTAGCTGTTATTACTACATGCTTTGGATTGTATGTGCTATTGATAACAGTTTTCATTTCAAATCTATACACACTAAGCAAAAGGAAGAGGCTGAGGGAGGATATTTAAAGGGGAAGAGAGAGAGAGAGAGAGAGAGAGAGAGAGAGAGAGAGAGAGAGAGAGAGAGAGACTGCTTGGCTAATATCAATAATTTGTAAGTGTACAAGCAGTCCTACCAAATCTGATGCAAGCCAAAAGCCCCCACTACCATACATGCATTAAGTTAGCATGCTCTTAATTTGGGGATGTTTACTATCAAAGAAATACAACAGAATATATACAAACCACAAGCAGAAATAATGCAAAAGTCCATGTCCCAAAGATACTATAGTCAACAAGCTCCCAAACTTATACACAACTTCATAAGAATAAACTCATTATTTTGACTAGCCAGCGTTCTTCATTATTATGGCTATACATTGTACATCTAAACTCACATAAGTTCTGAGGGCAAGCATTTCGTCCTTTAATGTTGCCACCTTATTCTCAAGACTTTGCTTTTCTGTCTCAATCTGAGCCTTCTCTCTCTCTTTTTCCTGAGTCAAACTAGCCCTCTCTGCTTTAAGGTTTTGAAGAATAGTACAAAATGATGCCTTTTCTTCTTCAAGGCTAGTTTTAGCAGACTCTAACTCGCTTTGCAACTTCCTGTTATTCTCTAACAATATAGTCATTTCCCTAATGGTAGGCTAGAGGAAAAGAAATAGAGACAGAGAGAGAGTAACGAATAAATTCAGCTCATAACAATGTTATTACCTCTTTTGTCTGTAGGTTCAGTTTCATGTTAGCAATCCTGTCATCCTTCTGAGCAATGTCATTCTTCAGTTCTTCATTCTCAGTCTTTAGTAATTCCTTTGCAGACTCTAGCTCCTTGCATTCTGCCTCAAGCTCAGATAACTCGCTAATCAATGTGTCCCTTTCATTTGTGACCTGAGGGAGGGAATATTTAAAGAGAGTAAGAATGTGCAAGAGGACAAATGTCTAAAAAAACTATTTGTACCTCAAAATTTCCCCCAACAAAATATAAAATGATTACCTCAGACATTCTTTCTTCGATGGACTCTTTCTCGCAAATTAAAAACTTGAACTCTTCTTCCCTGGCACTGCTTTCTTGCTTTAGCTGATCAAACTGCTCTTGTACCTCCGAGAGCTCCAAATCATCAACTACACAGACACACATTCACATGAAATATTCATTATTATGAGATTTAATGGTACAAAAGGGCAAAGGTTATTATACATCACAACAAATGAAAATAAATATAAATATCATACCAGTTCTGGTAGCTGGAGCACGAAGTGATTTTAATTTGGCTCTCAATTCTTCACACTCCTCTCTCCACTGGTCATTGACCTCGAGGATCTAAATAAATAATAAAAACAATGACATTTATCATAAAACCTTAGCACTGTCTACTGTACCTCTTGTATTTTGGTTTCTTTTACTTCCAACTCTTTACTTAAAAGGGTAACATTTTCATCACTCTCCTTTCTCTTATCTTTCATCTTTTCCGTTAGATGCTTAAATGAGTCTAGGAGTTTTATTAGCGAGACAGTGTGAACACTGCTACCAGACACATCACACAACTCCTCATCAAAATATTGCTTTATGCTACTGGAGGCTGCATCACAATCAAACCATGTTAGCCTTGATCTCAGAGTCTCTGACTTCTCGTAACCACTGGAAAGTTTTCTCACCAAAATATAAAGCAGTCTTGCAAAATCTTCAAACTAAAAATTATCAAATGACTTCATCCCTCTCTTTTTACTCTTACTTCATTTTTCGGTGCTTTCCTACTCCTTTTGCTTTCCCTTTCTCTCGTTCTTGGTTCTGTATCCTTTCTTGTCTCCTTATCCACCCCATTCTCAACAGGCGCTAGAGATGGGGGCAGCTTGATATCAAGTTTCTCCAAACTCGTAGTCTTTTTCTTGTTTGATTTCCCAAATTCTCTCAAAGCCTTCTTCACGTCGGCAACTTTTGCAGGACCAAGCGTGACAAGTATGTCCACTATAATCTCCTTGCCTTGATTAACTCCAATTGTACCCTCTTCCTCCAACAAGGTCACCCTGTCAATGGTGTCCGTTGATATGTAACTCTTTTCTGCAAGACATTCTGCTAGAGATATGATGCTGCTGAACGGAGCCAGAGACTCTGTGTAGACATTTCGTAGAACTTGAGCTGCAGACATTAGCCCAGCCATTAACTATAGGATGATATTATTTTAAAATGACTATATAAGGGAAAGGAGAGTGAGACGTCAAAAATTATCACAAGCTTGTAATAATGACAATGCAATGCATTATATCACATGGACTTTGACTCTTGCCCTGTAATGCTAGCACTGCTCCTTATACAATACCAATGCAGTTATCACACTGCTGTAAAGAAATGGCTTTAATAATCAAATGTATGGCCAATACTAAAAGGTAGTTAATCCATTTAGCTTTACAGAGAGGGAGAGAGAAAGAGCATTTTCCTAAATCATAGGTGTAGTACAGTTTATATTTGGAGGTAGATCTAGTTTGCTTTCAAATCATGCAAAACACTGCGGCCCAATCAATAAAAGGTTTATATCTATGTGAAACTAATTAATTGATAATAAATAACAAGCCAATCCGCTCTAACACTCGACCTCGCTACAACAGGCATAGCTTACCTCTTTATCTTGATTATAATTGTGAATTTAACCACACTGCTACTCTTTTATAAAGTCTCAACGTTCCAGGATGGCAGGATGAGTTTTAGAGCTTATTATGATTTTATCTCTGGTCGGGGGAAAAGTTTAGGGAATGACCCAATCAATCCACGCCCAAACTACTTTATAACCAGGGTCACGCTCCAATAGTTAGTATTTTCTAATTATACTATTGTAATAATTCTGGCATCATCATGAAAGTTCATTTGCTGAAGTTTATAGCTGTGAGCCCCAAAGCACACAGTGACTATTGTTTGTAACATATCATAGTTTCCTATACAAAGTAAACGATTGGACCTTTTGACTCTCAGTCCCATTCATTTCTGGGAAAGTACATTCATTATTCATGATGAGCTCAATAATGAGTGCCCAGTCTGGCTGTCTCTATGCCATGACAATTTGTATGTGACTGGCAACATGCTCTCTTTGTTAGTTTTTCATTGCAATTGCATGCAGCAAGTCCCTCTACTATAGTTGAAGCAATTACCCAATATACAACGTAATAGGGTAATATTTATACAAAATGCTATGGTACTGCTATAGCTATAAAGTCTAAAATGAAAACGAATACTTGAATTCTTATAATTAGAGTTTAGTCATTATGATATAGTCTTGTGATTACATCTGAAAATGCCCAACATGTACTTATGTACTACTTCATGAGTATATGAGTGATGCAATATCCCTTGCTGTCAAATTCTCATCATATGTCCATGGCTCAATTTACACAGAACAAGTACCCTTTCCCATTCATCATTTTTTAGTACACACACAGCTGACGTCAATAATAATCCTTGAACCTGCTAATTATACTTTGGGACTCACTCCTATTGCTTGCTAGCTTGTACACAAGTTACACAACGAGCATGTATGATGAACTGACCTTTTAGAAATTATGGTTGTTTTGATAAACTATAAGTAACTTTATGTAGCATACCTGTAATGGCATATTGAAACTACCTTTATCTTCTTCCCAATACTCATTACTGCAAGCATAATTACTGCTAAAGGCATGTTTTGCATGTATACAATGTCCACATGTTGATGCATGGATACACACTTGTTGCAGATAGAGGACATCAAATCATCAGTCGATTGGCTGCATGAGTTCATTGAGTTTCAATGTATAAAGGGAATGCAAGCTAGCAAGGTGCACATCTTGGGAATGACAAAAGGCATACTCGACATGCAAAAACTTCACCTTTGTTCTCTATTCTCAACTATCTTTGGACTACTGGTGATCCGGCATAAATTGAATGCTGTCTTTTTAACTCTTAAAAATAACAAAAACATCCTAATTAAGATTCATTATCCTATTATGAAAAATGGGTTTGCATATACTTAACATGATGGGGGGATTCTATCAATGAAATAATAGGGCATTTGCAGTGAAATAACCAGAACGATTTGGAATAGCTATGGGTTTTGATATCATTGGCTGAGAGGGACTGCTATGCTATTGATATCACCGCTGTCTGGACTATGTAATGCATTATAATAAATCGAAGTGTATGCATTGAATTCAGTTCACAAGAATCACAACTGAACTGTGAATGCAATAGACTCTGTACTTATAATGTAAATATAGTAGCATGATGTAGGCAATGCATGGATTGCCTAAGGTAACACATATTGCATAATAATAACACATACAGGTGATACCTAATTAGTGTAGTTATGCTTGTATAGTCCTACTCCTATTCCCAGTAATGATGCACCTTTATCTAATAATGTGTATAGAAGTCGGCTTACAGCAGAACTATTATGAGCTCAGTGTGCACTGTGCAGAAGGTCGATTAAAATTATCATTCCTCAATACATTAAGGGACTTGTACTGCATGACATAGCATTGTTTTTACACTAATGAGTGCTGCTGATGTGTAGCAGAATAGTCAGTGATTTAATGATTTTATCATTTTAGGGGCACCCCCAAAGGTCACGAATAGCGGAAATGATTATGAAGTTATAAACGAACCGCCCATAAAAAGCACGCCATTCTTGTACAACAAGTTTCAACAAGACTTCTATCTTTCATGGCAGACTACGAAAGTATAACTGACGTGACTGGAAACATGTCAACAGAGGGCCCGACAACTTTGTGTGACAAGAATCTTCAAGAGGCCGTGGAGGCTCTGGCAGAAAGAGAAGGTGAAGTTGCCAAACTCCATCAGCAAATCAAAGAAGTAAGATAATATATATATAATAATTATTATTCAGTTAGTGATTCGGTGGGCAATAAAAGTAGTTTTGATGACTTTCTTTTGTACCTTCAATTTAAGAGCTTTAGAAAAAGATGCATTCCATTTGATATTCTAATTTACAAGTTTGACTAGAGGCATGCTATTCCTGGGTGGGTATTGTTTACTTGTAACTTCTATTGCTCCTTACAAGCTTCAGTGCATCTTGTTTCATAGCATTACTTGCATTACTTGCATTACTTGCAAGCTGTTATTATTTGACATGATAACGAGCCTACCACCAGTAGATCCTGCACATACTAACTTAATTGTCCCCTTACATACAATCACTTGCAAATGTAAACATTCTATTTCATTCTTTGCCAGCACTTTCAGTCTCTTTTTATTCCCACTTTACAAACAGTTATTGCTGTGTCTCTTCCTTAAATGAATATTATTTTCTTTACACTTGCATCTCGTCAGAATTTACTACTATACAATGTGCAATTAATCTCCAATATAAACAAGACCATTGCAATGAACATTGAGTGAGAACCAGAGTGACCAGTCCTAATAAAATAGTTTGCAAACTTACCTCCAAAAACAAATAAATATAGTTGCCTATAGCATCAAATATGGCTTGGTTCATTTGTATAAAACTGTCAAGGGACTTTGTGGTGATATTATGTAATCGTGTAAGCATGTACTAAAACATAATGATGGTCCAACAATTCCTCTCAAGTATGGTATCTTGGCTAATTGGCTTCACTACTAATTTTGACATTTAACTCGTGTACATGCACGCGACCATACTAGGATGGAGTCAGCAAGGCTTGAGCTCCAGATTGGCTCATGACATCGTGCTAACAGAAGGAAAGAGGGCCACACTGTAGAGTTGTACCCGAATGAAATCACTACCTCTTGAGGTGACTTGGTAATAAAGATTAGGATGATATCATACAGCCCAGACAACACAAGCCCATAAATAGATAAAATAGAGGGGAAAGGGTCATAACTGGATTGCTTAATGGAAATCCTGTTTACATAATGACCTGGTACATGTGACTAGTAAATGTTCATGTGCATGTGAATGTAGTGCATGCTTTTGTCACATGAATATAGTACAAGTCATTCTTTAGTACATGTACAGGCATATTGTTTACAGTTGGCACTCTAAGTCTGTAGTTTTTCATTACCATTTAAAGAAAAGGTTCACTTTTATGATAATTTCATGTTGTATCACATGAGTCCGGTAAACAGAGTGTCGGAGGGCATACTGAATCCTGCTGAGTCTAATAATGTTAGTTTACTGTGTCGGCATAACATCATCATAAATATAATAACAGAGCCACCATATTGAAAGTTTTCTATTCATAGCTAGGCTATAATCGTATTTATAAGCCTGCTCAGCATTTAAAGGTTTAGTCCCCTGTTCTATTTGTAAACTCGATCGGATGTTGAGATCTGCTGTTCTATTTTTAGATACTGCTCATCAACCACAAGTGGGACGAGGAGTATAATGATTTGAAGAGACTCTATGAGTCTTGCATCAAGGAACAGGGCCAGTCCTCTTCTGCCTCACAGAAAAAAGACAAGACAATGGCCGAGGGTCTTGAAAGAGGGAAAGAAGAGCTGATTGAGCAGCTTGAGCACTTAAAATTAGAGAAGGAGAAAATTGAGAGAAAATATTCAGGTATACCAGTAGTAGTGGGATTATCTAAAGCAAATGTAATTATCGTGTTTTTAGATCTTAAGTTTAAGTATGATCATATGAAATCTCAGCGGAATGATTTACTGAAGACACAGGCTAAAGCTCTTTCAGTAGCTCCTCCTCCGTCTTCTGCTAGAGTGGCTCAGATGAAAGAGGAAATTGATCTATTGAAGAGTCAAGTTCAAGCATTCAAAGTATTTTCAAAAAAAATAATAAAAATGATGTTAATATATATTATTAGGAAGACTATGAAGCTGAAAAAAGAGATAGGGAGAGACTGGCTAGTGAGAAAGAGACAGAAAGGCTTCGATATGAAGCTGAAATAGTCTCCATGAAAATACAGGTATTGTTGAATCCTATTTATTGTATTATGTATTGCAGTACGTGTGAGCTTGCTTTAGTATAGTGCACATGCAGCTTTTTGCTTTGTCCTAATATAGACCGTCCACTTTTGCTTTGATAAGAGAGAATGCATTGAATTGCCAGCGGAAGTGATCTAATGAAAAGAATGTATTGTTATTAGTACAATGTACATAATTGGCAAAATGCACTGTCTCCTACTCATTCTCTTATGTCACGTACAACGTCACGCATACATTCACTGGCATTTGTTTGGATTGGCTACATTGCATTTTTCTCACTCCCTTTTCTCTTCCACTCCTGCTGTTTCTATTCTTTTATCTCTAATCTCTCTCTCTCTTTGTATTTAGTTGGATCGATCCACTAGCGAACTGGTACATTATAAAAATGAAGCCAAGAGACTAGGCCAGCAGTTGAGGCTAAAGCAGCAACGAGAAGAGGAACAATTTCGAAGACATTTAGAAAGCCAGGTACGACTGCAATGAAATTTATGTTTATTCTCTGTCATTTTGATGATTTAAAATTATTTAATAATTGCATTAATAATAGGGCTACTCGGCTCGTAAGACTCTACCTCCCCTTGACCCGTTTGTTGAGAAAGACGTCTACCCTTTATACTATTCGCAAAGCACTCCCTCCATTCCACCATCATCCCTTCCCTCTCCCACATCTGCCACGCCTCCAACAAGACGTCTCTCGCTTGGCTACCAGACCCACATGAGCGAGGTGACACGCCCACTTTACGAAGGGGAGCCTCAAACAAGGAGGAGGAGCATACCATTTTATAACCACGCCTATCAAAAAAACCCGTCAAATACCAGCAATAACTATCACACGCAAGTACCAGAGGATCATCCCCCACGGAGTGTATCGCCTCAGATTCATCGAGTTGGTCATTTGAGGCTTTACAGTCGTGAGAGTGATCCTAACATGGCTGACGTTAGCGGTGGTGAGACTGAAGCTCCTTCACTTCTCTCTCCTTGTAATGATTTGAACACTTCGTATGAGCAAGCTGTGCAAAGGAGGGTCGAGTTAGACTTGAAGTCCTCTTCTCTCTCTAGGGGGAACGTTAATAATCACGGGTCTTTCCTCAGTAATGGTGGGCTGGGAAGTGAGGAAAATGTTTCTGTCTCTTCAGATTTCAATGCAAAAGAATCAGCTTCTCATCACTCGTCGTCTATATAAAGTTTAATCAATATTACTATAGTTATCTCTATTATTTATTCTTATTTACTTGTTTATCCCTTGTGTTCTTGATTATGAATATTTATAATGCTTATGTATTTGTGTTTTGAGCATTTAAAATGATATGGCATTTTCCATTAATTATGTTATGTGTAGGTGGTTTGAACTTGAGCTACAATTGTCAAATTTATCATTATCAAATTTACCTCAATAACCATTAAATTGATAACTAGTCACGCCTATCAAGGAGGCGTGTACTTGTAACTTTTCGCTGACTGCACCTCATTGACAGATTCTTTTCAGATAAAGCCATCTCGAGCTATTTAGATTCTGTCTGCTCCTCTTGCTTTTTGCAATGGCAAAGCAACCTGGACTAGCAGGAAGACACGATGTAAGAATTATTGTTTTCATGTACAGTAAAGGCCCCGTTATATATATTGTGAGAGGATATGTCTATATATATATACATGTATATCTAATCATTCTAACACACTGAAAATAACTGTATAATACCCATATGAACAAAGTGAGAGGGGGAATTCCCAGGGAAAACCCATTCTGATACATGCAACATGTGTCATGTTGTGGTAATGGTGACTACGTGTGACACTCTCTTATGTAGGCTGACATCAACGAGCTAAGGTACCAGTTAGAGGATAAAGACTCCGAAATTACTAGGGTAAACTTTAGTACCGCATAATATTTTTATTATAATTATTTCTTTTTTTCAAATTCTCTCGTAAAGCTCAAGAGTACTCTAAGTAGTACTAATAATGAACTAGAGCATACTAGGAAGCAGCTAATGGACAAGAAAGCCCAGTACAATATGATGGAGGAGAATATGACAGATCTTAAAGCCGATGTTGGTAAATGGAAATCACTAGCTAATAGAAAGGGTTCCACCGGTGGTGGTGGGAGTGACTATGATCCTAACATGATAAATCAAGTAAGTGACCATATGCACATTATTGATACTATAGAAGTGCAACTTATTATTAGTTTTATTGATTTTGTTTTATACAGTTGGAAAGGACTATAGAGAATCTACAGACTGAATTGGCTCACACTAAAAAGCGTCTTTACGACACAGAGATGGCACTTCAAAGAGAGAAGGAAGAAAACTCAAGGAGAGAAAGAAGAGTGAGACCTCTCTTCATATCATGTCTTACCTTCTTTCTTATCTCTTCATAGCCATCTGGACCAGTGGCAATGCCCAGCACTGATCACTATCGTGTACAGATAAAGCATGCTCAAGATGAGAACAGTAGACTGACTGATCAGTTGCTGGATCTGAGAGATGAGATGGAGAGTCTGAGGGTCACTAACTCTGAGCTTAATTATAAACTACAGGAGGGAGGAGGAAGAGGAGGCCATTATTCTTCGGCTGCTGGCATAAATGATGAGGTAAGCTGTAACCATTGGCAGCATCATGTAATAAAGGGGCCAAATGCATCAACTGTATTCCATTTTATGCTCTGTCCACTGTATTATGTTATCAAAAGGACACCATGAACTACAGTAGTACAGGGTGTTTTACCAAAATTACTCCAACAGGAATTTTCCCTTTTATAATTTTTTTTCTGATGCGTATACATGTACTTATGTTGCGTATAAATTTTGATCAGATTCCAGTCAAAATTGGATTTTTACGAATTTTTAAAATTGCTCAAAAATCAGGCCAAAGCCCCTGTACATAGTCCCAGGCCAAATTTTAGCAAAAATGACTAGGAGAGGATTCTTCATTTATATATTTTTTACTGATACGTATACATGTACTTATGTTGTGTAGAAAGTTTGAGCTGATTCCGATCAAAATTAGATTTTTTACAAATTTTTAAAAATTCTCAAAAATTAGGCCAAAGTCCCTGTACTATAGTACATGGTCTCAGGCCAAATTTTGGCAAAAATGACTAGGAAAGAATTCTCCATTTTTATAATTTTTTCTGATACATATACATGTACTTATGTTACGTAGAAAGTTTGAGCTGGTTCGGATTGAAACTGGATTTTTTACAAATTTTAAAATTTCTCAAAAATGTTATACAGGGTATTTATTATTCAAAAATTGCTCTGAGAGAACCCTCTTCATTCATTAAGTTTTTACGATTGTAATGTATTGCACTCATTTCTCTCTAACAGATACATTACCTGAAGAAAGAGATTGAACGTTTGGCACGTGAGAATCAATCGCTATCAGATACCAACATGGCGATACATCAACAAGTAAAGACAATTAAGAGATATTGTATGAAGCATATTGTATTCCTTTTGTTCTCTCATTGAATTGCAATACAAGTATTGAATAGCACCAGCAGCATGCGTCCCCATAAGAATAACAATGATAATCATACTAATATAATATTGACAGGCTGTCATATATGAGGACGACTTTAAGAGAGAACGGCAAGAGAGAGAAGAGGCTAACAGTCGTTTCAAAAAGGCACAAGAAGAAATACAACAACTTAGAAGAAACTTGGATGAAGCAGTATGTTGCCTTTACTAAAATAAATATACAATATATACAATATACTAACACAATTAATTTTGATTTTATGCTCTTTTCTTTATAAAGAGGCGTGGTAGGGGGAGCTTTGGTGGTGAGGAATATCCTGATGAGCCCCTCAACCAGTCCCAATACTCTCAAAGTCATGCACCCTATCACCGCACTTCAGAGTCTGAGAGGACTCCTAACAGAGGCTACACTGGCTATAAGAGCCCACAGCAGGATGAACATGGAAGGGATTATTACTAGGAGTATCACTGAGCTACTACTCATGCATGCACATAACGTGAACCATCACTGAGTTTAGTTATTATTATTATTGCTATTACTATTAGCATTATCATTTTATTATGTCTCTTGCTTTTTCTTTATGATTATTATTATTGTTGTTATTGTGTTCTGTCTTGTTATTTTAGTAGCCATGACAAATAATTATTATTTGCATAGCACATTTTGTTGCAAGTACAGGCACTTAAGGGCAGTGAGAGCAGTGTTTTGCTAAGCCTGTGTAATGCAGTAAAGTTTTACTTCTGATGTAAAGAATGAATCTCTGGATCTGCTGCCTGTAGCTCTTTGTCATCATCTCACTAGTTTTGTCATGCATGATGGAGAGGTGAGCTCATGGAGACAGTAAAGCTACTCCTTAAAGTCTCTCCCCTCCACAATACATGACAATACATCATGAGAAACTGAAACATCCTCTTTTGATATCGTCAGTTTGGTAGCATGAGAAATCCAACAAAGTACTTCACTGCAAACTCTTGACTTCACTGCAAACTCTTGCTGCTCCTCCTTTTCTGTCACTCCTTGGAAAGTATAACTGAATGCTCGCTCGGTTTGTGATGCTTCTTGCTTTATACCTGATGGACTAGGTCCTAATGAATGCATGTCACATTGTTATACCTCAATGACAATGCTGTGTTTGCAGCTTGTTTCTCCCTGTGTCCCGATCTCTTGAATCCTTTCTCAAATACAGGACAAGCTTCGAAACCACCAGTATTGTTCGATTTCATTAGGTACAATGTGACAACAGGAGTCTCTGTCCTCCTTGCAAAAGTTGAAGTCCCCAATAGTGCACATCATCAATGAAGGACACATTGTCTTTTATCAATGCTTTGATATCCTCACTTCTATTGAGAAATTCATCATATATACACCTTCTCAGCTGCAATGTTTGCTTGCAGCATTCCCATTGTACTCAATAGACTATAGTGTGCATTGATCTATTCAGGTGGCATGCTTTTTTTTCTATTGTAGATTCACTAAGAACAACTGGAGGCAACTATAGGCCATTGTATCAATGGATAATGCAAGTATGTATGTCAAGCCAGTTTTAAAAGTAGCTTTCTGGTTTTAATTTTTTTTGTAGTAATTGCTTCATAGAAAAATTAATCTTCATAAATAGCAGCATGAAAATTTTCTCTTTATTAAAAAACATAAAATATTCAATAATAATAATAATAATAATAATAATAATAAATCTCATAACACAATGTTGTAACTTTTAAACACTCATAATATGAGACAAAGACGAATCCTGCCGTTCTCAAGTTGTCGTGACAACAATAATAGTACAAATGGACTCTACAAAAATGAAAGTAGCCACAACAAAAATGGTCCATACATAGGCCCTAGGCATCTTCTCCTTGTATACAAAGTAAACCTAAAAGAGAGAGAGGGAGCGAGAAAGGACAAAGAAAAGGGGAACAAAGAACAAACAGCATTTTTATTAACAATATTAATGCATGTCCATGCTGCTCACCAGAAAAAATTCAACTTGTGAGAAAGCTACGATAATAACAACAAAAGCAAAATAAATAAATAAAAATTATTACTGTATGCCTTTTCACGTACCAAGTAAGCTAACGAGTAATAGAGAGAACAAAGTATTAGCCGTGGCAGTCTTCACAACTACAACTATAACAGCAACCTGTCAATGGATTAATATATAAAATAATTATCATACAAAACGTCTACTCACTAAGAGGGAGATGACTACACTGACGAGTGTAGCAATGACAATGTATCTCTGTATTTAAGAAAAAGATCAAAGGTAGAGAGGGAGGGGATGGTAAAAAACAGATGGTAAAGATCAAAGAGATTTATTAATGAAATTTCTATTATGCCATAATGCAATTACATTTAGTGTAGATCTACACGAGCATATATATGTATAATGGTATATGGAATCAATAAACAAAGGAAGGAGACATAGTCACGTGACCTTCGGTAGTTTACAAAAGGCTCAAATACATATTTAGACAAATAAAACATGGCGAGTACCAACCATCGCAGGTGTACTACTTCTGTCATAGTAAACTGGAGGAGGCTTGTCGCCCGATTCATCTTTTGGATGAAGAAACGGGGCATCGTCAGACATGGTTGATTTTAAACTCCGTAAACTCACTAAATTGGCAATATTTTCAGTAAACTAAAGCAACATCTTCCGTATTTCTAACCGTTTATTTTTATTTCGTAGAAGCCACTCCCAAAAATGGCAGGTAAAAGCAAACCTTATTCAGCTCCTGGTTATGGCACAAGCAGTGCTCCCTCTTCGTACAGCAATGGAAAGAAAGGGAGTGAAAGTTCTAAAGGTTCTGATGATATTTACAACTACTCTAGTGGCAGGTCTGAGGCAGGGCCAATTTATGGAGGAGTAACATTCTTTAAGACTTTTAGTGGGGTGAGCCTCCTCAAGTGATATTTAATGGCTAATTGATGCATTTTATATAATTGTTTTATGTAATTATTCCTTTTCTCTCAGCGTATTGTCTTGGGAATTCTTGTAGCTATTCTAATTATAATGTTCTTGGTGAGTTCAGCTTATGACGTCAATTGAGTTACTATTTTGTCTCACCTTTATGTGTGTCATACCTGCTAGGTCTCTTTCTCACTCTGTGTTTATGGAGCCGTCAAGTATAAGACAGCGAGATACTTTGCACTTATCATAAACATCATTTGTGAGTGATAGCTCTGTATGACACAACTATGATTTGATTTTCCATATTTTTTTCACTCTCTTCCCCCTCCTCTCAATATTAATTTCTACTACTTTTATATCATTTCTTCTCTCTATTCATTCCTTTTTGATACAGTGAGTACATTAGTAACTGTTGCACTGGTTAGTAATAGCAACAGCCACCTAACAGATACATAATATTTATTTTATTTTTTAGATGTTTTGGTCCTACAGAGGTGTATTGGCACCGGCAATGGTCTGGTATATATTTGTTCAATGCGCTTTCCTCTTTTTTCAATACGTAACTACTGACATATTTGCCTTGTGAGCTAATACATTGTATCTCTATACCTCTTACTGTACTGTATTGTATGTAGGTATGAGCAGCAAGGTGTAGTCCCAACTTCCATTACTCCTTTTGAGCCTGGCTATAACTGCACTAATGTCTCGCTTCCCCATACTCCTGATCCTCGTTGTTTGTAGTCTTGCAAGACTACGTTGTACGTGAATTTGGAGAATGAAGAGTATTATAACTTTATTTTATAATTTTTGTGGTTTGTTTTAAAATTTATACTATAATGGCTGTTAAAAATAATGTTATATACTATAAATGGCTGTTTTGTAAAGATGGGCGTAAAGATGGGCGTGGCTGTACTAAAATTATTGAATTTTTAATCACCTACCAACAATTGGCAACAATGAAGAAGGTTGTAGTTGTGGGCGCGATACTGGCTGTCTCTTTATTACTTTTTTATCTGGTCTTTATAACATTGAATGGTAAAAAGGTGAGCATATATTTGCTCTAAGCCACACCCTGTCTGTTTGGTAGGAACCTGAGGGTAGTCTAGTTCGAGGTCAAGTTGACATTGCTCAAGCCTCTGTTCAACCAGGAGCTCGACCAGGAGTACACAAAGTATGTATTTATGATCCTCATTCTGTTCAATCATTTATTTAAATGTAATATGATGTGCAAGGAGGATAGTGTATAAAGTAAAATAATATTCTAATTGAAATATAATACTGGAGGGCCAGAAAATTTGTTGGCAAAAACTTTGATGGTTTGCATCAAAATTGCTTTGGCAAATTACTATCTTTTCTTTTCTTCTTTAAGACAGCATTGACGGTTATAATATTAGCAGTTTTATTCTGAGTACGGTATATTGTTTATATTGATGTCATGATGATGACTTTCAGTAAACATTAATTTTAGAGAGCATTATGTTTATAATCATAGAAGGAAGAGCAGTTTATGTAATAATGTATAAACTTTACAGTGATTTAATCATTCTTTTAGAAGGAGCCAGTTCACACAAAATTTTATCATCCAGCGAAACCAGAAGAGCTATGGGAATCAATGGATGAAAAGAGATTAGTGGTAAGTTGTGAGTCATAAAGTGATGAAAGTTACCGTATCCATAATTTTAGGTGAGGAGACTTGCTTATTATGACACTCGCATTGACGACCATCCAGCAATAATGTTCAATGCAATGTATGATTTACGTCATGCTGAGAAACCTAATGTCTTTGTTGAGTTAAGGTACTCGGATAAACCGACAAAGTGTCTTCAGTTAGAGTACAAGTCACAGAGTGGCTCTCTGAGTGACGCAATGCAGGAGTTTTACGTGTATTTCCTCTTGTGGACCAAAGATCCAGTCAAAGAGAGACCAGAGACTGTTGCTCTTACTCTTGATAAAGATTGCGGCAAAGATAAACTGTCGAGTAGCATCAGTGTACAGGGTCTAGTCCCAGGACCCAATGCTGTGAAGTATGCAGTCTGTCTCCACAAGGCACTTTTTGGGATATCTGATCCACAGGTAAGTAATTATGATGCATTAAATATTATTATTATTAATTTTACTTCATTTACAGGTAGTTGTGGACTGGGTTGAGATAAATAGAGAACTTGGTGCTGAATTATTAATGTTGTACTACCAAGATGTGCCAGAGATCATGTATACCATACTTCAACCATACATTGAGACTGGCCTGTTGGAAGTTATTGATTGGAGTCTCAAGGAACCAAGTATTCCGAAGATGCATACTCTTGACAATGGGATGTCAGCTGTCATCAATGAATGCATATACAGGAGCATGAACAGAGTCAAATACTTATCACTGACTGATATAGATGAATTCATTGTACCAGAGTCTAAATTTGAAAAGGTTGGAGACATGATGGAGTATCTTGAAGAAAAAACAAAGTCAAAACCAGTCTCAGCTTACAGGTTTCATAATACGTATTACTTTGAAGACCCAGTATCAGTACCTCAAGTTAAAGACGTGTCTTTTTGTCCTAAAATGAAGCTACCTCGCTACTTCAGACGAACACAAAGAGCTACACATGCAGAGAAATATGGATCAGACAAACTAGTGGTCAAGACAAGAGCAGTTAACGTGGTTCAAGTTCACTTTGTTGTAGATAAACAAAAAGAATATGAAGCAGAATATGAAGTACCTAATGACATTGGTAGGAGCAATCACTATAGGTGGCCTTATAGAATGGCTGATTTTACTCCTCATGAATACAGTGATATAATGGGGAGATATGCTGGTACTGTAATACCTAGAATAAAATCTGTTATGTGCAAATCTGATAAAAATTAATATTATTATTATTGTAATTATTAGTTTTATTTATTTATTATTATTATTATTATTATTATTATTATTATTATTATTATTATTATTATTATTATTATTATTATTATTATTAGGAAAGAAGTAAAACAAAACAAACCAAAAAAATTAGCATTATTATTATTATTAATTAATTTATTATTATTAATTCACTAATAAACACCGACAAAAACAAAACAATAACAATGACAAAACACTAATAATTATTATCATTAGATATATTATTATTAAGTTAATTTATTGGGGCGAGCATGAGCGAGACCCACACTAATCTGTCTAGGTCTATTTGCGTTACGTCTTGTTTATGAACGGAAGAATACGAAAATTAAATTAGTATACTATTATTGATAAATTTGGACCACGTGGGCAAAATTAACTTAGAGGGTGTGCTCAAAAAGAGCAAGATGGCGGAAATTTTAACGGGACAAACTCAGATTGAGTTTCTAACAGTTAGATAAGAGAGAGGGGCTGTCTAAAGCATCTCTAAAGGCTGAAGAACTTAAAAGCAGTTTGATCTAAGACTCCTCTAGATTAGTCTTCTCATTAAAAGAATTAAAATTGTGAGAGAAGCTTGATTAGAAGTTTAGCTTGTCACATTTTCTCAAAGTATTAGGACAGTTCATCCTTGTCACTTTTACTAGGTCATTTTGGTCAGTGGTGTTAAATAGTGGGTTTGCTCTGTTCTAGCCTGGCCAGGGGCGTAGCTGGACCTTGGGTGACGGTAGGGCAAGGAAACAAAATGGCGCGCAAAGCGCGCCGCGATTTTGGCCACACCCTTTTTACGTAACAAAATGGAGGCATTTTCCTGCAAGCTGAGCAAAATCAGAGTGAAATTATCATTGTATATAGCTTTAAAAGAGCTGTGGTTATCAGCCATCCCCTTTTGTTATTGTAAGAACAATGAATATAACCTTTTGAGTTATGAATATAATTATAAGGCCACTTTGATGGTAGGGC